GTTTACTTACAATCTTTCATATTCGAGCTTATCCGAGTTATGAAAAGTGAGTGTGGTGACCTACGATGTGTACCATAGGTAGAATTTATTATTGAGAGATGTAATTATGTGGACTATTAGTGACTTTCCTGCATATTAGATATTATTTGGTTGGAGTACTATAGAAAAACAAGTTTGTCCTTACTCGTATGAAAAATTCGGATGTTTTCTCCATTTCTAATATAAGGAAGACCTCTTAGTTTGTCAACCACTAAAAGTTTTTTCCTCATGATCATCCAAATATAAGAAACAAGAAAGAATTCATCACAAGAAAAGCTTTAAATCTAACCCTCCTCCAATCCGATCTAAAGTAAAGATGTTACAAATGGTGGAACAGTGGGGGTTGTTGAAGGTGACGGATAATGGTGCAAATGATCATAATAGTAGAATCTCTCGGATTTGTGGATGGAGGAAATGGAGTATTTTTTAGGATTTGCCTTACTCGGAGTACAAATCTCATTTGGCATAATTTAGATGTCATGCATATTGAAAAAATATATTTGATAATTTTTTTAACACAATCATGAATGTGCCGAGTAAGACCAAAGACAATGTAAACTCTAGGGAAGACTTGAAACTTTTTTGTAAAAGGCTAGAATTAGCAAAGGATGATGCATCTAGAAAGTATCCTAAAGCTTCATTTACTCTATCTAAATAACAAAAAAAAATTACTTGAATGGATCAAACAACTCGGGTTTCTTGATGGATATGTGTCTAATCTAGCTAGATGTGTTGATACGCGAGCAAGACAAACTTTATGGGATGAATAGTTATGACTCGTCACGTCTTTATGCAGAGGTTACTTCCAATTACATTTCGGGAGTTTTTACCAAGAAATGTTCGGTAAGCAATCACACGAGTGATAAAGGAAGAAGATATGTTGTAACTTAATGATGAGATACCCATTATTTTGTGTAAACTAGAGCGTATATTTCAACCTACCTTTTTTAACTTCATGGAACATCTTCCAATTCATCTACCATATGAGGCATCTATTGCGGGACTTGTGCAACATTGATGGATGCATCTATATCTTTAGAAGAGTACGCACGTCGCTTGGTAAATTACACACTTTTTATTATTATTCACTTATTTCGAACATTTCAATTTTCTTCTCATATTATCCGTAATGGATTTGTTTTTCAAATGACAAAATTAGGCCGTGAGCCAACGAGTCTTGAGTTGTTCTAGATGACTCACAAGCGACGAGATGGTTCATTTGTCAATTTGCGCTCACATCGGACAATGGTAAGTGTTTTTCAATTTCAAATAATAAATATGAAAAGATAATCTACAATTTATTTTAATCTTATTTTTTAAGATATCATTATTTTGATTATGTAAAACCATGTGGAGTAGTTCATCAATGAGGTAGTTACGGCTTGACGGCGGCAAGAATCATAGAGCCGAAGTTGACCGAATGCCATATACCTTGAGGTCTGTTAGGGAGATGAAGAAACCGTTTTATGGTATAGGCACATAATCGATGTATTATCTATCCCGGTCGAGTGGTAGAAAATCCTCCTCCGTGACGTCATATTACGCCGTCGACCTAGCTAACGAAGAGCTTCGGAGGGACTACGAGACTATGAAGAAAGTGATGAAGCGGATCCGGGTGATACAAAATGAGCTTTAAAGCTAGATCTTTAAGTAGCATCAAGCTATTTATAGTTTGAAATCTCGGTATGACTCGATAGAATCCTTAGTGAAGAGGTTGACACAAACAAGCGAGGTGCTTATAGATCCTTTGGTGAGTCAACAGTCTCATCGTTCCTTTCTCTCATCCTCCCATTCGGCCTCTACCGATCCTCTCGTCGCCCCCTCCATACGAGTATCGGGAGGAGGAAATGGGATTAGACAAGTAGGATAAGTGATATGACATTTAGTCACTTTGTTTTTTCTTTTATGAAATATACTCGTAGAATGGTATTGATAATATTATTTTATTTTAATATATAAATTATTAATTTTAATTATTAATTATTAAATATAATATTAATTATTAATTATTAAATGCAATGCAATATTAATAATTTAAAATAATTTAAAATTATCAAAAATAATTTATGACAAAATAGTATGAAATGCATTTTTAAAATTAACGATGGATTAGAGATGGAATAGTGACAAATGAATTTTCAAAATTAAGTATGGAATACCGACAAATTCATTTTCAAAAATTGCAATGAAATAGCGATAGATTTTTGATAGTCGTTTAGCAACGAAAATAGCTATGGAAGAAACAAGAGATCCTACGATGAGAATAGTGACATATTTTTTTAGATTAGCAATGCAAAATTTCATCACTACAATTGAAATGGAATGAATTTTCTATCATAAAAAAATAGCGACAAGCGAAATAGCGATGGCCAATGTTGTCGTCACTATTCCGTCGCTAACCATAGTTAGCGATGAAATCTCGGAAATTAGCGATAGAATATTCCGTCACTAATTGTCTTTTTTTTTGTAGTGCGCGTGTTTTAGTTTGACCTTAAATATTTTTATGCATTTGAATGGGTGCATGTTTAATTATTTATATTTGGTTAAAACATGTGACATTTAAGTTAAATGTCCGTATAACATATATGTTTTAGACTTGTGTGATATTATGGTTATGGTTGATGTTAATTATTTAATTTAACACAATTATGTTGTTAATTGTTAGAATTATATAAGATGATTAGGGGCTTAATTGAAATAATTAAAAGTTTAGGAACTAAAGTTTAAGGATTTAATGGAATAAAGTAATAAAGTTAAGTAACTAAAATATAAAGTGAATCAACTTATGGGACTTGGAAAATTCAACTAGGTAGGATGGATTGTGGATGAATTAAGGATAAATTAACATCAAACAAAATAAGCACATGTTAGACTAAGAATTGACTTTAGGAAATTTCAAAAAAAAAAAAAAAAAGTCATGAAATTTCTATAAAAAGATAACTAAGTTAAGGAAATAAAGATAGCCATACAAGTGTATGGCAACTTGGCAAAAATCTCATCAATTTGGCTAAGATAAGGAAAATATCCAAAATAATTAGATGATTTAATATTAATAAACTTAGAATAATCTAGAAAATAGACTTTAGCCTAAATAATTCATACATGAGATGAAATTACTAAGCTTCCATACATCAATATATTTGGCCATAAGAGGAAGAAATAAGGAAGGAAAATTTTAGTACTAAGCAAACCAAAATCTAGAAACATTTAACAAGTTAAGAGAGGAAAAATAACCATACATATGGCCTAATTAAGTGGCCAAATCCTAGCCTCCAAAACCACTTCATCTAGCCAAAAAGAAAGAAGAAAGAGAAGGAAAATTCTAGCTCCCATTCGGTCAAAAGAAAGGAAAAAAAGGAGAGAAAATTCTAGTCCTAATAAGTTGGCAATTTAAGTATAAAAAGGGGAAGGAAAAACAAAGCCAAGTTTGGCAAAATTTAGTCAAGTAAAACATCAAAAACACAAATGCAAAACTCGAATTGGGTGAGAGAGAGAGAGGTGATGCCATGAGATAGAAATAAAGAGGCGGAAGAGGGAAGAAAAGAGGGAAAGTTCTAGATTTTCAATCCTAAGGTTCTAACCTTGAAAACCTTAAGGAAAAAAGAAAAAAGAAAAAAGAGAGAGAAAGCAAGGGAGGAAGTCGATTTGGTAACATACCAAGTCTAAATAGATTTGGCCGAAAGGTAGAGGAGAAAAAAGAGGAGAAGAAACCGGGATAGCGTGGGCTAATATTTTGCAAGGAAGAATATGAGGTTTTAGTAAGAAATTCAAGTGATTTCGGTACTAACTTAACATCAAGTAAGTGTAATCATCTCAACTACATCACAAGGCATAGGATTTGTTAGGGTTATTATGTGTTTTTGCTTGATTAATAATTGATCATGTTTGATTGGTTGATTATTGGTTTAGATGATGGTTGATCATTGGATATATGATATTAATTTATGTTTTATTATGATAGGTCATGAGTTTAATTAATGATTAAAAGATGAAATTAGGTTAAAATATTATTTACATAATTAGATGATGATATGTGAATTGAGTTTTACATAATTGAGATTTTGAGCATAATTTGGAAGAATATATTCACAAGTTTATCGAAATAAATTGATCAAGTTAAAATGATTATTTCTATTAAATGAATCTATTTTGGTAAAAAAATTTATACTTAGTTTTTATATAAAGAATGGACCTAAATAATAAATTAAAGGAGAGCAATGATTAATATTTATTTAGATGATAAAAGACACATGGCTTAGAGTATTGCATTTGTTACACTTAAAATATGATATACTAACGATAATAATCTTGACCTACTTAAATCCTAGACGGGGTGTTGTAGCTTATCTTAGGATTCGTCTCAAGATTTAATCCCAAAGGCTTTTATAAAAATAACACAAACTAAAAAATAGCTAAACGTTTTTCACATGGTTTGTAGGCATTTATTTACTTGGTTGTTTCCTTCTCTTTGCTGCCACATGATACAAAAAAAAAAAAAAAAAAAAACTCTTTACAGTTCAATCTTCTTGGTCTTAAGAAATAACATTTTAGTTCTTCAATGTTAAAATGAATATAGGTTTAGGTATAAAGAAACACGAAAAAGTTTCATAATTGGCAAAAACAAACAAATAGCTCATCATAAATAGTTTGATTGTTTATGGCACGGAATAGGTTTCATCAATTTAGCTCGGATTGGTTCTATAATTATATTTAATTGTTTTTATTGGATTACAATAACGAGATATTAATCATCATTCGTCAATTCATACTTTGATCTTTATTTTATATTTGGGTTGATTTTGGCTCAAATAACACTGTATTCCAAAACCCCTTTCTTTGTTTTTCCTTTTAAGTCCGATATATTTTCAGTTTATAGAAGCACTTAAATCTAAGGGACCAAATTTGACTACACAAGAAATTCAGGAACTAAATTTGCACACAAACAAAAGCATAGAAACCAAATGTCCATAAAACTTACTAAAGGAAAGAAAAAGAAGGCCAAGAATATTATTAGGTACTAGTTGGTTGATCTACGAGGAGTAGTAAATCATATGAAGCAACCCATAATTGCATATCACGTTGAACTTCGCGGGCTCTATCTATCTATGACACTCAGTCGCTCGCTGGTCAAAACTTAATATAATTGCTACTACTGTTGTTTACTTTACAAACACAACTTTATACATTACACACCCACACTGTTTCTGTAAATAGTACTACTACTACTGCTCCTCCTCACATCACACGCTTTTCTTTTTGTTCTTTCTTTAATATTAACAGAATTCAAAAATTCTTGTCTGCCGTACACAACCTTTATCCTTCACGTTTGATCCCATCCGTACACGTGGCATCCAGTTAAAATTATTGGGAATAACAGCAACTGGGTCCCACCTTTAGTGCTAGTATTTTTTTTAAAGATCTTAAAGTACACCACAAAACTCAACACATCCAGCGGTGTATACTCAAACTTCTCAGCATCCCTATGTAAGAGGCTAAATGGGCATCTGCCACGTGTTGGAAAAGTACCTAGAGCATGTAATTTGTGAGTGAGCGATAAGATATAGAAGAAACCCTAAAGGTTAAAAGTTGAGTGTGTGAGAGAGAGAAGGTGTGAAGCTGGAGAATTTGGTGCAGTTTTGTATAGTATTGTGTGCTTAGTTTTTCTATATGAAGAATCAAGGAATCTTTTTGAAGAGAAGAAGAAGAAAGAGAAGGAAGTGAAACTGTTGTTTCTTTGTGGGCTTTAAGATTTCTTTCCATTTTTTTTTATAGCTTTTTTTAAGATGCATTACTTGAGGTATGTATATATTTATGTATTTGTGAAGGCATCTTATTTATTTATTTTTGTTATGGTTTAACTTTAACCATTTTGTACTTTTCTTGTACTTTAATCTCATAACAGAATGAACTAATGTGTAGGTTTTTTTAGCTCATTTGTCTCAAAGGATACTATGTATTGCTTTTGAGGTTGTTTTTATGTTCTTGCTTTTACAATGTTGGATTTTGTGGGCGTTTTTTTTTTTCTGAGTTTTTTTGTTAATAGAATGCGTAGAAATGTAATTGGAGATGGGGTTGTCCCAAATTCTTGTTTTATTACTGAGTTAAATTTATTTTTCCTTTGGAGAATCAGGAGAGAAATGAGTCATGCCTATCTTCATTTGATTATATTTTGTGCGATGAGAGTGTTTATAGTTTATTAGTTACTGACTCTAGGGTTTGAGGGGACCTTGTGAGCCCAAGAATCAAATTTCTATAGATAGTACTAGTAGGCATCTTGCCACTGACTCTTTTTATTTTCTTTTTTTTTTTTTTTGAATAATTTATGCAAATTTTAGCAAATGTTTCCATTTTGTTGTATTTCGTCAAGGAGAAAAAAATTAGATTTCTTGCTTCTCTTCTGATTTAAGACAAATTGCTGCCTTGAAAGGTACCAATTTGAAGTTGAACTCTTGCTGTTAGTGTGTGTTTGGTTATTTTTGTTGGACTCCAAAGCAAAATGGAGAATGTGCTTTCCTATTTGTAATGACATGTTGAGTTGTGAGGATTTATGGTTTGAAATTTTTTGCAGGTGAAAAGACAGAGAATGATTTTCATATTATTTACCTTGGATGTTGATTTGGCTGCTGGGCTTATGTAGATCAAAAGGACTATATTGTGGGTAGTGATTTAGGGAGGAAATTGGATATGAATATGCTTGTGGGGACATGCTTGAACCAAGGGAAGCTGATATACCTGTCCTGTTTCTTGTCTTGGTTGTGCTTCCTCTGGTTGCTTACATTTTGCTTGGGAAATGGAGTGAGTCTGCAAAGAAGAGAGAGAGGATAACTTTGCTTGCTCAACTGGCTGCTGAAGAAGCTCTTAGAGCAGAAGTAATGTCTACCGCCTGTGTCATTCCTCCTGTGTCTACTTCAAAGAATGGAACTCATGTTTGTGCTAGATGCTTTAGTCCATCTACAACCCGCTGCTCCAGATGCAAGTCTGTTAGATATTGGTAGTTGTCCTTTTTCTCTAGATAAATGTGTTTTTTTTTTTTCAGACTTCTACTACCATACTATACTTTTTTCTGTCCGCCCTGGGCTCAGCAGGGAAATAGTCATCATAGTATCTCTATTTTCTTAAATTTGCACCGACATACTTCACTATTTGAAAAGCAATTAAAAATGCAAACTTGATCATGGGTGGTCTAAAGAATGTCTGTCGTAAGATTTCTATAATTTCCGTAATTGAAGATAAGTATTTGCTTTGCACATTGATATGTCAACTTCAAAACCATCCAGGTGCTGTGAGGCTGAGCACCAAATGCCTCTTTTCGAAGCTTTGGAGGTTTTATTTATTTGTTAATTTATGAAAGTAAATGAAACAAAGAGCCAAATGTAGAGGATTCATCTGAAGCTTAGCTGAGTTTACCAGTAATCTCCAAAGCGTCAAAGCTACAATTGGGTTTGTTGCAGTGATTTTTTTCCTTGTATTCATGTCTATTTCTTTCTGCTATCTGGAGAAATGAATTTATAGACTAATAATTCTTGGCTTCAGAAGTGGAAGGCAAATAAAAGCAGTTTCACTAGTTAAAATCTTTGATTCAACTTGTTCACATTAAATCTCAGCTAAGCTTCAGAACAATTCTCTACATTTGGTGATTGTTGATCTGCATGTTCACTCCTTGCACTGTTGATCTTGTGGGATACTGTTGCCCTTCCTGAGACCAGTAGGCGTAGAATTTAATTTTATGTAAAACTTAAAACTAAATTTCACTGTATGTATGCAGGGGTTTGTTCTAGATCTAAAACAAGTGTATGCAGGGGTTTGTTCTAGATCTAAAACAAGTTTTAGTTGTTCATTTCATGTAGCATGTTTGTGCAGCTCATGCTAATAAACTTGTAAACATGATTTCTTGTTTTTTCTTTTTGATCTTTTCCCCCCATAGTGATGTGTCTCTTATGGTCTGTTAAGCATCAACCATGGAAGAGGGGAAACAAAGTAATGCATGTTATGCACATTTCCTACTCGTAGATATAAACCATAAACCACTGCAAGTTTGTTAATTTTCAACATAAACCTGCATGCAGTTCTGGAAAGTGTCAGATAATTCATTGGAGGCAAGTTCATAAGGAAGAGTGCCAACTGTTGGAAACTACGAGTTCATGCTCATCTCCTATGGCTACCTCATATGATGAATCCATCCTCGAGAGGTTATCAATCAATGATGGCATGGACTTATTTTCCTTAGGGTATAATAGCAAGCAGCCTGCAATGGATATTGGTACTTCAGATAATTATGTCCATCCTTTAACAAGCACTAGCGCTTCTGCTGCTCTGAATCTTACTGCAACTGATAGCTCTCAAGAGGCTATCCTACACAGAAGAAGTGCAGACAAGCGACTTTTACACAAATCTACCATAGAAATGTTAAGAAGACATGAAGTGGCTGTATTTGATTCTTCTGAAGAAACCTCTGGAAGCAGGCCCACCAATTTAACTTCTAGTAATATCTCCAATGTTTCTGTTAATGGGCAAGACACTTCTAGTACTATGGATGAGACTTGTAAGTATCCAAAACGACATCCAAACTTGTCCGACTCAAGAAGCAACTGTGGGTCCACAAGTTCATTGAATGCAGGAAAATATGGGACAAATGCACGTGAAATTGGACCAAATTTAGTTTTTAGTGGAGGAGATTTCTCTAATGCCGAAGCTTCTTTTAATGGTGAAATGGCAGGATCAAAATGTTCTTCTGAAACACCAGTAATGAATGGAAATATGAAGGCTAATAGTGCATTGCATCCCATGGGTAACAAATCTTCTAAATCATCGAAATCAAAGATGAAAGTCTCTGGAGACCAATCATATTCTGAAATAGATGGAAAAGGACAACTTACAGATGATTCAAGTAGGTTTAATGGATTACCATTCCCACTATATCAGTTCTTCTCTGAATTCTTTTAACTGTAGATCTGTGATGCAGAAGTTGCAAGAATGAGCAATTCCAACCCTGCATCAGGAAGCAATGGGGTTACAAGCATTGGTATTATGAAGATGATGGGCTTAAGGAAGTCGACAAAACTTGCTGGACAAGATATGGCAGAACTCAATGCTATTCACAAAAAAATAAGGGTTAGTTTCCAGTTCTATTCAAGCTTTTGAGCGTTAAGTTTGATCTTTCCTTTGCGTGTTTTGGTTAATTGACTGGGTTATCAAGTCATAATGGAATATTTCTTCATGTTATGATATCATTTCATCTCAGATGCTGTTCCCTTATGAAGAATTTGTGAAGATCTTCAATTGCGAAGTTATAAACTTAAAACCCAGAGGACTTGTAAATTGTGGAAACAGGTATGACTTGATGTTTCACTGATGCGAAATAAAGAAGTGTGCAATGGTGTTTGTGAACTAAAGTAAAATAAGAGAACGTCAGTATCCCATGCTTCTGTTGTTCATAAACTTAAGCATGGACTAGCTGATATATTGAATTTTACTGTCGTTGATCATTTATTGCAAGGAGCAACTTTTACATGTGAAAATTCATGTATTGAAAATTGCATGTTTGAATTTTGACTTTTATATGCTAGGATGTTTAATTGATGAAGGCTGACATGTGCTTGTGACGAGACGAACCAAACTTTATTTTACCTTTTTGTGATTGTTAGTTCAAGTATACAAGGAGCAGGGTTATATAAATTTATAATAAGCCAGGCTCTTATTTCTGAACGTAAAAGAACTTTTACAGGCTGATTATTTTCTTGTCCCTTTTTTGTTACTCACATTTTCTATTTTGCAGTTGCTATGCCAATGCTGTCCTTCAATGTTTATCCTGTACTAAACCTCTGATCATCTTCTTGCTTCGTAGATCACACTCACGAGCCTGTACTCTTCTTTTCTCAGTTTTCCTGTTGTGGGTATTTAAACAGAACAGTAGTAATTTGCTCTGAAAAATCTAATTTTCTTATCTGCATATGCTTGTTAGGTTGTGGGAAAGATTGGTGTCTCATGTGTGAACTTGAGCAACATGTAATGATGTTAAGAGAATGTGGGGGGCCTCTATCTCCTAGTAGAATCCTTCTGCATATGCGAAAAATTAATTGTCAGATTGGCGATGGAAGTCAGGAAGATGCACATGAGTTCTTAAGGTCTTCTAAAGATTTACTAGCTGATGTTTTTCTCTTGGTTCCACATTTCATCTTGGTGATACTAGTCCCAATTTGCTTCATGTTTGTTTCCTCCTATTTATGAGTGTTCTTCATCCAGGCTTCTGATTGCATCAATGCAATCCATATGCTTGGAGAGACTGGGTGGTGAAGACAAGGTTGACCCCAGATTGCAAGAAACAACTTTTATACAGTATACTTTTGGTGGGCGTCTTAGGTCAAAGGTATTGATCCATTGGTTCTTTGAATTGTCTTTTTGTTTCACTGCAAAACTTTTGCTTTCTTTCCGTGCATTTTCTTTTCTTTGATTTTAGGTAAAGACTGTTATCATACACCAATCATGAAGAGGTCAATTTTTTGTACTAGGTCAAATGTCTGAGATGTCATCATGAGTCAGAACGATATGAGAATATTATGGATCTTACACTAGAGATATTTGGTTGGGTTGAGTCACTTGAAGATGCGTTGACTCAGTTTACGACCCCTGAAGAATTGGATGGAGAAAACATGTATAGATGTGGAAGGTTGGACGACCAATTTTTTCTTTCTTTCTTTTATTTATGTGTATGGTTACTGCCATCATATGTGTTAGCGTTTTACATTAGATGATAAACATTCGAGAAATTTAATGGCTCTGGAAATATTTTGATGAAAAGGTGTGCTGCATATGTCCGAGCCAGGAAGCAGTTGAGCATACATGAGGCACCAAACATCCTGACAATTGTTTTGAAGAGATTCCAGGTATCACTTGCATATTTGAGTACGATGACTTCCTCTCTGTCATATGTTCAATTTACATGCAGGAAGTATATAACGTTGCCTGCCCTTTGCATTAAGTTTACTTTATTGGTTTTTAATCTTGGTATGACGTTTCATCACTGAATTCCTTTGGCTAGCAATTTACCAAATTAAATGTTTCATTCCTTTCTGTTATATTTGCAATTTTTATTCATTTGAATGAACGATTTTGATTGTTTGACTATTTTGATTCTCTGATTGTTGGTTTTGCTTCACCAGGAGGGAAAATATGGGAAAATAAACAAATGTATCACTTTTCCTGACATGCTGGATATGATCCCATTTATGACTGGAACGGGTGATGTCCCTCCTCTTTACATGCTTTATGCTGTTGTGGTACATTTGGATACACTGAATGCCTCTTTTTCTGGACATTACGTGGCATATGTAAAAGATTTGCAAGGCAGCTGGTTCAGGATTGATGACACTGAGGTACACATTTCGTTATTTCTATTAATTTTTCTAGTAATTGGTTCATCCATTTTTATTTTATATTTTATTTTTATGACTGCTTAATGCTGATGCTTTGTTGTATATTGTTTTCTGGAAAAAGGTGAAACCTTATAATTCAGGGGCCTTAGGTTTCACGATTCATGGCTAACTTATTTACCTTGGTTCCATCTGCTGACCCAACTTTGAGATGATGGAGTTGGCTTAGTTTGGATTAAGGTCATGATGGAAAGTAGAAGAACCTGTCAGTCAAATGGAAGAGTGGAGATGTTTGAATTACAATCTTATAATATTTACTCAACAGTCAGGCTCTTACCACAATTCCCTTGTATCTGTACAATATACAGTTTTAAGACTAACGTTCCATCTTATAGAAGTGATATTCTAGACTTGTTGTGCATCTAGTGTGTCCAATATGGCATGAAATTAGAACTTCCATTTGTCTATCATATAATTTGTCTCCAGTGTGCAAAAGTCAATCTTCGACAATTATTTTTGTTATTTGCATTGCAGGGTTGAAAGAGTTTCTTTCAAACGATAAAAAAATTTCTGCATATTTATATACAGCCATACATAGCTGATAAAATTCATGAAAGTGGACTCTTTAGCTGAGAGCGCTGCAAATTACCTCTCCTCTCTTTCTGCTCGATTTTTTCTTGCTCACACGGTTGCCCATCATATGGATATTAAATTTAACAAGTTCAGTTGCATATTAAAGTTATGATGTTTTAATTGTTTGGCTCAGATTCTATATTGGCAAATTGGGATTTTAATGATTTGGATTGGCTCTCATAACAGGTTCATCCAGTATCAATGGGCCAGGTGATGTTGGAAGGGGCATACATCTTATTTTACAAGAGGTGAACATTTTGGTTTTATCCACTACAATTACTTAGTCTCTTCTTTCCTAGTATGCTACAGTTAGTTAATGTTTACTTCTGCCCATGCTTCCCTCAACTTCTTGCAAGTGTGTGTTTCTTAGGTCCTGTCCTCACCCTCAAAAGGCAATTTGCGAGAAAGCCATCAGGCAACAACTTCCAGTATCTTCAAGACACTGCACATCAAGAACTCAGAAACCTTCAAGACAAGGACAGAGCAAATGCAGCAGCCACTTTGTTGGCCAGGAGGCATCATTGGATCCCAAACCAGAAAAGAGTTTTGGCCTGGTCAACTATGCTAATGGCATTCCAAGGAATGCAAGCAAAAATATCACACAGGTGAAGGATTTCTCTGATGCTACCTCAAGTGATTGGTCCATTTTTACAAGTTCAGACGAGGCTTCTTTTACAACTGAGAGCACCAGAGACTCTTTCAGTACTATAGATTATACTGATGCTTGCAATGTAGATGCTTTCTCCTCGATTTTCAATGATTTCCGTGCTCCAGAATCCTCTTATCGGAATACTCTTTGCCGTAGAACATTTTCAAATAGTAGGCCACAAACTAGGTTCATCTTGGAGGAGAGGGGCTATGTTTTGGATTCATACTCATCAACCCAACCTCCAGAGCATGGAAAGGAGAGAATTCCAAACAGGTCTGTGGTTCATCAACCAAATTCATTACGGACAGTTCATGCACCATGTCAGTAGAAAATGGGAGAATCATAAAGTATGGTCTTGACTCATTTGTAGACTATAGTGTGTAAATCCCTAATGATGACTAGTGACTTAGCTAGGTAGATGTTGTGCCTCAAAATTTTTGTTCTCAATACTTTGTTGATTGGGGCATGCGGATTGTTTTAGAGTACCCTAGGAAAGGAATACTCTTGTTATTATCGAAAATTGTAAAGTGCCAACATATCCTTTGGCTCCATTTGTTTTAGCTTGTTAGTATTTTCCCGTAATCCTAGTAGAAAAACTCATTTTTCACTTGCTTAGCTCATAATAGATTAGCTAACAGTGAATCTGTGTCTGAGAGTTGTCAGCTGAGTTAATATTTTTCTCAATCTAATTTGTTGTACTATGAAATAAGAAAGACAATTTTATTTGTCGTATTGGGGCTACTTTCCATGAGTTTTACTGCGAAGTTGTCATTATTTAGGGTTTGCTTTGCAAATGAGCACATTTTTATACTTGGTGAAGACACTGACCCAACCAAGAATTTGAAGACACTCAAACTGTTGCAATGAAACCTGTAGCAATTTCAAAAATGTTTTTTTTTTTTCTTTTGTTCTTTTCTTTAAGTGGAATGCCATACCTTAAAAGAACGGAAGAATTAGGTCAATATTCACGGACTATTCATGGAATTGTCACTCGTTTCCAGGTTCCACCCCAGAAGGTTGGATATTTTGAACTGCTCACTGCAAGTAGAAATCAAGTGACTTGAAAATGGAATCAAGTCATCATCGGACCAAATCCATTATATCTGGGGGGAATAAAAAAAAAATCCTAATCGCTGTTGCTGTTTGATAGATAACTAGATACAACTACTTATACGACTAATCAAACAGATAGGCAATTTTATTCAATATGAAAATGAGTTCTTGCCTAGGAATTCCTTCTCCTCTCATACTACTACTAGCTCATCTTCTATGTCAAATTGCATCCATATCTCATTCACCCTGTTGTCAAATTCAAATGGAGAGTTGTACTGTGCAACAGTATAAACTGTAGCGGAATCAACTCCATGGCTTTTCTCAATAGCAGCAGCCCAGATGGTGTCTGCAAGACTGGCTTGTAAGGCAGCAGCTTCCTCTCCAACATTCGAGTCAGTTACAAACCCGCTGAATTGCCTTACAGCTACATATGTTGGTTTCCATCTTTGAACATGGAGGCCTTTCGCTGGAGGTGGATCAGCTTGGTTCTCTTTTGGGACATAGAAACTGACAGTGAACGAGGATTCACAGAAGGGTCCATCGCTGGGCGAAACTTCGGTGATCACTGGAGCTGTCATCTCGATTGCTTCTTTATAACTATTCTTCCCTTGAATGTAGTCAAAAAGCCTGTAAGAAAAATCAAACAATAAGCTCCAAAGACAATGTTTATCTCGAATATTGATGCCCTCAAAGCCAGCGATTCGCATAAAACCACTATGTAAGACCCTTTTTATAATAGTCGACACTTGCTTCAAAGACATGAATTATACACTATTTGCCTACAGACGAGGAAGAGGATTGCAATAATTTTTTTTAAAAAAGGACAATTAATAATAAATAAACAAACCGACCTCCTAATTAACTAGATAATTGATTAAAAAAAAACCAACAAAGAGAAGAGATGTGCAACTTACTGTAAGAATCCAATTCTGGTGGAATCAACAAGGGAGATATCTTGGATGGGATACGTGGACATCCAAACGGAAGAGTTGTAGCGACGAATTTCATAGCCATTGCCAACTTGAATAACATCAAACACAGGGCACTCTATGCGAGTGCAAGAAGGGGGTATATCCCAACAGTACTGCTCTTGCTAGCCTCAAAGTTTGCACTTGAGAGAAGGGTCAAGAGAAATGATAGCTTCAACATGCTGAAACCAGCCATTTATGGTAGTCCGTAAAAAATTTTGAGAATGCAGTGCTCAGCCTCGAAATGTAAGCTTGATAGTTGATATGTGAGGGAGGAGGAAACGAGTAAGGTCCACATATTTAAAGGATTTTGCGATGAATTCCTCATCAAGTACATTTTCTTCGTGGACGCAGATCTTTTAATGCTATTTTTTTTATTATTATTAAATCAAAATCATTTGAAACATGACCGAAGCATAAAATATCCAAACCAATCGTTGATATGTGCGTTTACAAAATTGTTTTGTCAAATATAAAAACATGATTATAAAAAAAAAAAAAAAAAAGGATGGTCGCTTCCATATTCAGAGCAATGGTCGTTATGAAAACACGTGTACGATTATCATCTTGATGCAAGAAAGCAAATGACAACCACGCATGGGAACGGGATTAGCCATTGGAATTAGATGCCTTGTAGATTGTAGTCTACTAGTCTTGTACATTTACAAAGAAATACTAGTATCTCCTTTTTTTTTTTTTTTTTTTAATTTTATAAAAAAAACCATTGTATCCGGGTAATATTATCGAACCGGCTTTTATTAATTAATAAGATTGAATTTATTTTCAATAAGATTTAGTAGACCGCCAATTTTTATTTGTTCATTTACATTTTTTCTTTTCTAAAATCAATCCTCAACAACAACAATAAAAATAAATATTTTTATTAATTGACAAGTATTTAATAACTCAAAGATAAAAAAAAATGAATTGAAGATATTCAATGAAAAAAATTGATTATGTAATGTTATTTTAAATCTAATATGGCTTTATTGACCAAGTGGATTCTCCTACATTAACAAAATTAAAATATTTGATGCAATGTTTTTTTTTTGTTTTAGTTTCATAATTGGTGATATTTTTAAAGTGGCTTTCCTTCATCGATTGAGCTCACCATTAATAAGAAATGTGTTTTGATAGGTTTTCTTTTTACTGGTTTTAAGTTAATGAAAGTGTGTTCGAAAAAGAAAGAAAAAAAATTAAGTTAACTCATGTTGTTGGGTCCATTCAGCAAGTCAACATTTCTGAAAAACATTCAATAAGTTATAAATTAGTTAATCTAGTTTTGCAATAATAATAATAATAATAATTAAATAGTCCTTCTAATTTTAAAAATTAATCAATTAGTTTCCAATGTTAACGATATTTAATTTAATATTAATTTATTTAAAAAAAAATCTTTTTTTTCATTAACCTTTTCATATTATCTACTTTGTTTTCTATTTCTTAATAAAATAAAATAAATTAAAAAAACATAAAATTAACGAAAAATGATTAAATTACAAATAGATAACACATGGATGAATATAGCAGTAAATTTGGTGAATTTTTTTTAATAGGTATTTGTTTGCTGAATTGACAAATTAAGAAGTTAAATTGGAGGATTTTCTATGTTTGTAGGACAAAATAACAAGCGTAACTAAATGACATATAAATAAAGGGAACGACTAGGAAAAACAAGTTCGCGTATGGGAACATACTATTCCAACCATTGGATGTTTTTAAGAATGATCCTATGGAGGATGTTTCTCCAATCTTTTCTTTTTTCGGTTTATAAGAAACCTAATACTTAGTTTTTATTTTTGAATAAATTATGAAAAATACCCTATATTTAGAAGGCGAAACACTCGGTATTTTTATTTTTCAAAAATTTACACTTTAAACTCTATATATTTTAAGAATTATTTTTAGGCAAATGAAGTTTAAAAAAAATAAAATACCCTCATATATATAATTTAACTCCAATTGCATCTAAATATTTCTTCTCCATACTCATTCAATTGTTTCTCCCTCCTTTTCATCCCTCCGTTTAAAGAGAGAGAAAATAAAAGATCACATAATCAATCTAGTAAATTTAATTTGAAAAAAAACCTTGTTTTTATCTCTCTTATAGTTGATTGAAAATTTGTCTAGTCTGTTTGAATAAAAATCGAAGACGAATTGAACTAATAAAAAAAGGTATGTGAAACTCTAACTTTGGTTCTTAATTTTTTTTTAAACAAAAAGGTATTTAAAACATAAAATGTTTGGATTAAGTCTATATGTTTAGAATTCTGAACAAAACCCATAAAGATTATTTTATTTTTTAAAGAATTTGTAAGCTATGCTTTGAATTGTTTTTTAAAAAAGCCTAAATAGTTTAATCGTTTATGCTTTAATTGGTCTTTTTTCAGAAAAACCTCTAAAATATTTGTGTTTTTAATGTTTTTTAATCTATTAATTTGAAACTCCTCAAAATCCCTTATTGCTAAATTTTGATCTTTACTTTTAAGATGATGTTAAATTTCTAGATGCTTGGTGTGGGATTTATTGATGATATTACGACATAACATGTGCTTCTCTATTACAATTACTACCTTTTGGCATCCTTTATCACTATTGACCATGTAATTTGTGTTGAAGCTTTATTAAATTTTGAATGTATGTAATTTTTTTTTCTTGTGGTTTAGTTTTATTTTAACGAGTGGTGTTGTCCACGAAAAGGATCTTCTATCTTAAGATTGTGAGTGAAAACAAATTTTAGTTCTCTTTTGTTTTCGCTATAAGGGTTTGAGTTGTTGCACAAATGTTAGCAATCTATTATGTTTTGAGATATGTTTCTATTCTTGTGTTATCAAATTTGTTCCTGTATAGTTTCTTAAAGATTATGGTTTAGACTTACAAATTGGAATTTCCTTTCATGGTTTACATATTTTGATACTTGAGTATATCAAGTTAAAATTAGCCTTTGGTTTCTTTTGAAATTGTAAATTACTAATTCCGTAGTTGTCTTCGAAAAAAAAAAAAATTATATGATTTATCGATTTGTTTGACATCTTAGTTTCAATTGTGCTAGTCCATTACTTCTCGGTTTGGTTTTTCTATAGTGTTAAATGACAATAATTACTAGTTTAAGGTGGTTAAACTAAGTTCTTGTGTTCTTTATTATTTCTCATACAACCCTACTAGGAGGGACTTGTATATTTTTCGAGTAGTAGCTATACTTTCTCTTGAATCGATTGTTGTCATGGGCTTGACTTTCGCATTCACGATGAAGAATTTGTACGAGATACATGGATAAATGTTGTTGATGAATAAAATTTTAGCGAGATGGATAATCTCGGACCTTCTTTTGATTTATTGGATTTTAGGTGTTTTGTACTTTTTTTTTTTTTTTTTTTTTTTTTAATGTTGAATTGGATTTGAGTTGTTATGAAACGTTACACAATTTTATAGGTATTTTCAAATGGTAACATCTCCTTTCTTAGTAGCTATTTTCATTTTTTTTTTTAAGAAAAAAAGGCTTTCTAAGGGCATTCTAGCCATTATCAAAAGATAATGGTAAATTTGTAATAATTTAGATATATTTTCTTATCTAAAAATTCGACACTCAAAACAAAATTATATAACATGGTGTTTTTTGAAATAAATATTAAAACTATAAGGTATAAAGTATAAAGTATAATATTTTAAAAATAAGAGTGTAAAGTGTTTCCGTAATCTAACTACATGGTATTTTTTGTAGTTTACCCCTTATCCTTTTATATTTCATTTCATTTATACTTCTATTTATACTAATGCTATTTGCTTTTCTTTTTTCTTCTTCTACCTAAACAGTATTCTAGCAAGAATAAGATTTTTATGAAAATCTAATGAATATTTATCTCTAAGAAAATAAAAATTCTAGCTTTTTTTTTGCTTAATTAAATTTTAAGCTAGTTAAAAAGACAAAGCAAAAGTTACCTTTAATACTTACTGGAGAAAAATGTCGTAACCTTATAGTTTATTTTTGTGTTTATTTGCAGCTATTAATTTTGTCTTTTTATTTTTAATTTAATCAATCTAATTCGTTCAATCTGATCTTATGTTATCCAATTTGAGTTAAGTGAAACCAATTACTAACCTTTGGTTTAGATCATATGTTAATTTTGTATTACATTGTGTTAAGTAAGTCTAATTAAAAAGGAGAAAGTTTGTTTTGAGTTCCGCACATGCCACATGTGAAGAGCTGAGTGGCACGAGTAAAACGAAGTAAAAAAAGAAGATAAATTAAAAGATAAACGATCGAATACAATAGGACATTAAATAAAAAAAGATTCCCAATTTTTCGGACAGGTTTGCAAAATAGGGTTAAGGTTTCTTAAATTAGTTTTTTTTCTCTGTCTCGTATGTGCCAACGAATCTTACATGTGGTACAGGCGGGACACAAAACATATTTTATCTATTTTTTGATTGGATCCTCTAATGCCACGTCACACAAAACTAACATATAATTAGACGAATTTTAGTAATTGACCTTAATTAACTCAAATTGAATAACAAAAAATCAGATTGACTAAATTGAAAATATAAAAGCAAAATTGATGGTTGCAACAAACATAGAGGCAAATTATAGTGCTAAGCTGATGACAAATCAAAAGCCATCTTTTTTTATTTGACACAATTGTTGGGAAAGAAAAGTTACTCTTGAAGTAATTTTGATTGTTTCTTTTTATGGATTGGATATGACAGTAATTTTGGGTGATTTGGGTCGTGGTAGATTGTAGTCTTTTGCTTACAATAAATACACTGTAGACTACATGAAATTTATAGATTTTGATTTGAAAGTGGTACAGCTAATAATAGAATTAGATTTCTAGATAAAAAAAAAAGGCTAACACAAGGGAGAATAAATATTACAAAAGTAAATTATAAATTAGTCCCTCTATTTTTTAGAAACGAATTAATTAGTCTTTTCTATTTTAAAAAATAATTGTTTATGTTATGAAATAATAAATGTTCATATGCTTTTGATATCTATACTACTCATAGTTCTTAATATGATTTAATTCACTATTTAATATGAGAAATTGAAAGAGTAATGCAATTGATTCAATAATTTATGTACTTTTAATGGTTTATAATCTCTTTCAATTTTCTTCCTAATCTTGAAGCATATAAATATGCTTCTTGGTTCATTAGTTTGTTCACAAGTATTTTGTAGCTACAAAAATAATGCCA